TCCATTTTCCTTTCATCTCCGCTCTTCTCTCTGCAGGTTCTGATTGATCGATACGTCTCCGTGGTTACGGGCCGGGTTTCGGCGTTCAGAGCCAAGTAGGACTTTTGCTGATCTCGGAGTGATTACTATTGCAATGGTTGCCTCGGCGGGGGAGGACTCCGGGGAGGGTGGTGCCGGGGGATGATGAGGAGCGATGGTCTGCAGCCGCCCCACTTCTCTACATTTTCCTCTGCACCCCCGGACTAATTACCCCATCACTGTGTCATGTGACACAATATACCCCGCCCCCAATCCCTGGGTGCAGAGCCCCATCTGGTGTCAGTCATGTGACACAATATACCCCACCCCCAATCCCTGTGTGCAGAGCCCCATCTGGGGTCAGTCATGTGACACAATATACCCCGCCCCCAATCCCTGTGTGCAGAGCCCCATCTGGGGTCAGTCATGTGACACAATATACCCCGCCCCCAATCCCTGTGTGCAGAGCCCCATCTGGGGTCAGTCATGTGACACAATATACCCCGCCCCCAATCCCTGTGTGCAGAGCCCCATCTGGGGTCTGTTTGTAAAGGCAGTTTTTATGCTTATATGTATATTGTGGAGACTCCTCCCCTGCACTGCACACGTACATGACATTGACATCACACGAACATGACTCGGACATCACAGGGACATGACATTGACATGACACGGACATCACAGGGACATGACACGGACATCACAGGGACATGACACGGACATGACACTGACATGACACTGACATGACACTGACATGACACGGACATGACACGGACATGACACTGACATGACACGGACATGACACGGACATGACACTGACATGACACGGACATGACACGGACATCACAGGGACATCACAGGGACATCACACGGACATGACACTGACATGACACGGACATCACACGGACATGACACGGACATGACACGGACATCACAGGGACATTGTACTCTGGTCTGACGGACTGACTCTGGTTTCCCTGCCTCAGGTTACGAGCACAGCTGAAGAAACACGGATCGAAGAAAGAATAAGGACCACCCCCTCGGGTCTCTTCATGTTAGGTTGGGCGGAGCCAGGAGTAGGACACGCCCCCGCGGTCCCCTGCACAGACATCACACTGTCACAATTCTGAGGTTTTGGGAGAATCTTCTACTGACAATAAATGTTTTTTATTTGAACTTGTCAGCTGTTTATTGGCTGTGACGTCCTCGTGTGACTCCCGGGGGGGGAGGGGCAACACAGGGCGGTG